AGAGAGAGAGAGAGAGAGAGAGAGAGAGAGAGAGAGAGAGAGAGAGAGAGAGAGAGAGAGAGAGAGGATCTTACCATGATGGCGGCTTTAATGACATCTCTTTCAAGAGTAAAGGACGTGGTAGTGTGCTCTCTTTGAGCATCGAGTAAGATATTAACTAAATCTTGGCCTTCTTCATTTTCACCACTAACATCGCCTTCCACTGCTCTTTTCTTACTTATATGTTCTTCAAGAACAGTCTCGAGAACCTCATCAAATTCTACAGCAACTTTTTTTATTCTTGCCTCTAACCCATTAAATCGATCCACCCATGACAGCCATGGAATATAATTCCCAACAGAAAAGGCACCAAGCAGGTATGTAAACCTTTTCAACAAGTCATTAAACTTTACCCCATGAAACTTCCTCCCAAAGGCCACCCTGCAAACTACGTTGTTTGTAAAGATAGTTAGCAACTCGCCTAAATCAACTATAGAACCGCAAATTTCTCCAATCTTGTCAATCATTAGACAGGTCTCCTCTTCTCTTACTCTTTGAAACGACTGAACTCGTCTACTGCTTAGAAGCCCGAGCACAGCAATGCTCCTCACCTGCCTCCAATACTCTCCATATGGAGAAAACGCTATGTCCTTAGATCCATAAGTAAGTGCATCAGGGATACTTAATTTGGGTCTGCTGGCGAAGATTACATCATGGGTTTTCAAGATTTCTTGGGCTGCTTCAGCTGATGAGGCTACAAGCACGGGTACACTGCCAAGTTGAATGAGCACAAGTGGACCATGTTTTTGGGTTAAGGCCAGAAGAGAACGGTGGGCGTTTAGGCCTATTTTATGAAGGTTTCCAATAATTGGAAGCTTGCGAGGGGATGGAGGTTGGTTTTTGTGGGTCTTTGAAGCAGATGAAAATCTTGCAAAAGGAGTGAAGAGAAACAGCACAAGGATCACTGGAATAAGAGGAAAAAGAAGGAGGCAAAACGACAGAAACATTATTTACAATTATCACTGGAATAAGCAGTTAACTTTTGAGTGAGGGTGTGTATGGATAGTACAGGTGAATGCTTATATATAGCCTCAGTTTATCGAGGTTGAGTCCTTCTTCTGGTTTAATCGTTAGTGCGGTAATGATTTTTAGTATGCTAGGAAATTGTAGTCTACTGGCGATCTCTGCAAAATCTGGATTGAATTTTTACTTTTTTAGTGTTTTAAATTGTACCTTTAAAGTCTTATAGGAAGATACCCACTTATCAACATTTGTGTGGTTTATATATCACACACGTCATAACCAAATATTATATATAGGATAAGTTAAAAAACGACACCGCGCGATATGATTTAGGGATGGCAAAATTATACAACGGAAAACCAACCAACATGTTATCAACCGAACCAAGAAACTTGGTAGCCAATACATTTGGTAGCCAACACACATTTGGTAGCCAACATGTTTGGTTGGTAGTATCGTACCAATTGATCAATGTTGGTACGGTAATGGTACAAAAATTTGAATAATATGGTAATACCGTACCAACCAATTCATTTATTATAT